TGATTACGCAAATAAGTTCAATAAACCTAACATTACATAAATAAAATATTGCCAAATGGTTTTTGTTCATTTATCAGAAGAACTTACATTACATTTCAACCAAACAAATTAAATGTCGCTTGACAAGTTTATTACGGGGTTAAATTAGAAAATTTCCAACGAAATTTCCCATTTTGCTATATATTTGAGCCTCACTTGAAATACTTTGCCGGCCGGTCTAGACATCGAATGGTTGAAAGAATGACCAATATTGCAAATATATTGAAATCGATTGATTTTCATTACTGAAAATATCTTAGTGGCATTACCATTGAAGTCCTTTTGTATAGCCTAGTTGTCGACGAGTCCAAAGAAAAGAAATAAACAAAGTTTCGTTTTGTGTAATTATGAGGATTCAAGTAGGAGAATAATAATTCTAAATATGCTGTTTTGCCACATTTTTTTTTATATCTTTTAAGGAATATTTTGGAAATATCAAGAGAAAGTCAATTGGTTGGGTAGGAGATGGAAACAATATCATACATACCTTGATGATCAGTGCGCCAAAACTGGGAATGAATTTACAAATTTTTCCCCCCAAGATGTATCGGATTTCATCTAAAATTGCAAGGTTGCTGACAATGTTTTAGTAATTAGATCTATTCATTTTCCTTTTGTACGACTAAAAACAAAAGGAATATTCAGGAGGAATGATGAATCTTAATATACATTTTTGTCCTATAAAAAATAGAAATTGGGTATAAACTTTGCGTAACTCTTTTCAATATTCTTATCAAATAATTCATGCTTTTATGAAGGTATTGTCATAACTTTACATGAAAACGTCTGTCGGTTTATAATACATTATATTACCGTGATTTTCGGGACAATTCTTGACGTGGGATAAAATCTATAAGTTTTTGACGGGTTTGTTTGCAGACGGGTGATTTACAGCTGCAATGTTTAATGCAGATTTTAGATGATCAACAACATAAATTATATCAGCAACATAAGTTATATTTGAATCTACATTTTAATGTCTCTAATTTTTCAAGCCATGCTGCAGAACTCGCCAAATACTATGGAACGAGAATTGATTATTATGATGATCCTTCTGACGCTGTCGGCGGTACAAATGCAATTGTGACAGATTTGTGGAACAATCTTCCGGTTTACCCACTTACCAAAAAGGTATCGTTAACCTGTATTATTCACAAGTACCGTTCATAATTATTCAAGGTCGTAGGTCATGCTACGAGAGTTTTGTAACGTTAACCAACAGACAGAACTCATATTTTTGTTAAAATGAGATTGCAAATAATAGCAAAAATTAAAGGCTACTGGTCTGCTCCTTGAATATTTCAGTACAATGTGTTTCATTTTACAGATGTGCGATACAGCCGCTGACGATTGGTGCTTTCTGCACTGTTTACCTTGGAAACCAAAAGACGAGCGCGACGAATGGTTTTATTCGGATAAATGTCTAATATACAAAGAAATAGAAAACAGGAAATGGACAATAATGGTATAAAATACATAGATATTTTATAACATATATATATATATAAATATGATCGTTTTATTAGAAGGTACCCTGTAACCAGTGTTCCCTCTAAAGTCTAATGTGTGCGCGTGTGCGCGCGCACACAGCTTTCAGAGGCTGCGCACACGCATAAATTTACTGCGCACAGTCGTATTTCGATGTAATGTAACAATTTGCTCGGTTGGCAGGTTGAGGAAGTTTGTTGTTGGCCCGCTTATTACCCAGTTAAAACGGCAAAATTTCTTCATTGGTTTTCGCACAAATATTAGTCATTTCCAAAAAAGTGCGCACACACCAAAATTTCTGCGCACACATACTACAAAAAATTAGAGAGAACATTGCCTGTAACTTTTTGCCTCAAACTCTGTGAAAACATGCTGGAAGTAGGCCTACTTATCGAATTGTAGATTTTAGCGGTATTTAAAAGAAGAAACTATTGTGATAGGGTCATTTATCTTGGTTCTTTCGAACATTACAATAACTTAAAAATATTATAATATTACATTGTCCTTTTATATTTCATTATGGCCTCGCGTTTTGAAACCAATTTGATTTTATTACTATCAATAGGTCAGTCGGAAAGTAACTGCAGACTACGTTGGTACATAAAATTAGCAATGGGCTTAATTTCATATGGGTCTAACCATTGCCATGTTTGAACCGTATTTTTACTATCTTTATATAGTCTGTTTTGATGAATTTGATGGAAGGATATAACGTAAGGAACGATACTGCAAGATTGGATCTATAGAACCTCGAAACCCAAAATGAATCTAGATGGATTGTCGCGTGGCTTGAAGATATTGCTTTCCAAATGCTATTTATAGTAAATTATTACTACTCTTTATCGTACCAGAATTTGTTACCGCTTCACTTCAATGTTTATTTTTGGTATCGGCAGTCTATACGTACGACTCTAAATCTCCATTAAGTCCTGCAACCAATTGTCGTTGCTTCAAGAGCATTTATTTATATTTACGATGATGAGAAAAAATCTTCCTGAATCCACGCAACTTCAGTTTCAAGTGCTTCCTTGTAATCAAGAATACCCGACCTCATTACTTGTTATATATATCATGTAACAAAAGTTTAAACATAATTATTTAATTTATTTTATGATACAATAAAAAATAAGATAACCATATTACAAGACTAAATAGCTGATAGAAATTTAATCGACTGGCTCCTTTGCCGCCTACTTTAGAGAAAAGGGCGCTCTAGAAGTATGTGCACCAAGATGGCGCACAGTCTGATAACCCTAACTTGGTACACATACTATGTTCGGGTTGTGCGCCATCTTGGTGCACATACTTTGCGTATTTTTGGTGCTCTCGAAGTATGTGCACCAAGATGGCTCACAATCTGATAACCCTAACTTGGTGCACATACTATGTTCGGGTTGTGCGCCATCTTGGTGCACATACTTCGAGAGCACCAAAAAATATGCAATCTATCCGTATCCCGAATTAATGTTTCAAGCAACATGGCTGCATAACTTATATTACGAAGATTGGATTTGATACATGATTCACAAATAATAAAAACCGAATTGCCAGCCACACGAACTCACGTTAAAATACCAATGCGATATAAAAATATACAAATAAATGAACAGAAGCCTAATGTCACGGAAAAATTTTCCAGAAAATATGTGGCGATGGAAAAAATGAAAGCAACTTACGAACAACACTTGAATAAAAGACATTCACAAGATGAAAATAAACTTCAAGATTGCTATCATTGCAATAAATTCAAATACTTTTTTATATAGCATAACTTTAGCAGATTAGCAAACTACACATTGATTCTGTTCGATATCGACCACTTCAAGTTTTCCTCGATCGTAGATCTCGTTCTAAATCGCGAATTTGTGCTTCAAGTCTCATCCGATGGTCTCTTTCTTCTTCGTACATTTTTCTCCATGCATTTGAATTGTTACCTGACAACGCAAGCAAAAAAACAATTTTAAAACAGTATACAATATTTAGCATTTAACAGATTACTCTGTTTGGATAGAAAGTTTGGTTATCAAGGTTAGAGGTTTTATTATCAGAGTAGAAAGTATACATTTTGTATGAGGTAAGATGAAAAGTTTCTGTTTCTTGAATTTCCGAGTAATCTTCAAATCTGGGAGTGCATAACTTGCTACGAGAATTTGTCGATATCTTTTACAGCCTACTGAACATACTATACTGAATGAACGATGCTCTATTTTACCAAAGTAACCCAGTATATTCAACTGGAAGGCTACGGATGGGAACCCGGCTTCCCATTGACTTCCCTCAGAAGTATTCAATAAGTAATATTGATATAATTCAATTTTGAAACACCAGACCATCATGGTCCATGTCAAATAACACAAACAATAAACCCCGGCAAATACAAAAATAGCACAGTAAAATAAATTAAAGTAAAATAAGAGGAAAAATAATCGAGCAATCGTATCATTTGGAAATCGTAAAACAGAAACAAGTAAAAACTACTTACCAGTTTCGTTGGTTAATTTGTCTGAAGCTTTTTGTAGGAGGATGCAAGCCTGACTGATTAATGATTTGGGATCTTCAGTCGTTATTTCAGATTTCAATTGGTTAATATTCAAATTGGGATCGGGTTTCGAGTCAAAACAAAATGAAGTTGGTTTGAAAATACTTTCTGACAAAGGTTTAGGTGCGTCATCTGCATAAGAAAAATTTGATGTTGTTCGCGGTTTTGGTAGATATTCAGTCCCATAGTTCTCATTTTCCCAGGGTTTTGATTGCAAGGAGTCACCCCGTGTATGAGCTGCGGGATATCTCGGTGATCTTAGCGGAATTTCACTCTGAAACAATGGTGCACGACTTTGTCTTTCAATCCTGCTCATCGGAACCCTTTCTTCGTCGTACATTCGCGACATATGGGGCATTCTACGTCTTAATGTGTTACCATTGTCTGGGATGTTGTATGAAGACGACATTCGTGCATTACGTCGATCAGGATCTAATTCCGATATTGATAATTTATCAGGTAAGTTCAGTGCAGAAGACGATAAAAACATTCGACTCCTCTGCAGTGTGTCGTTTCGTTCTTGAAACGGTCGATCCACCGCTGGTGCGTCGATGTTTGTTTTACGCGTCGCCGGTATGTCAGCGCTTGATCGTCGAACACGACGACCGTAATCTTCATTTGTTACGTTGCGCCTGTTGTAAGTATTTTCCAAACCTTGAATGTGCTTTGCAGCCCTAGAACCAGGTCGTATTGTTGGTTCTGTGTCGACGAGTAACTTTTTCTAAAAAGATAAAGTGATTGGTTAATATATATATATAACATTTATGGCATGCATCGCGTTGTTTGCGAACACTGACTCGTGCTTATAGTATATATAGCATCGATCACTTACCTGAAATTTGTTCCAGACGTCTTTTTGTCGAGATGTGGGAGTGTCAAGTCCCAATTGTAGTTGAACAGAGTTGCATTGAGTACGTTTACCAAATTGGTCGTGACAATGTTTTAAAAATGAGGTTGTGTTGAAAAAAATTCCACAATTTCGACATTGGATACATTTTGAATCCTTCTGGACATAGTGCCTAAAAAACAAAAATTGTACATACCGTAGATATGTTATGGATGCAATCGATAGCAATTTTCAACGAATGTAATATTTGCTGGCATAATTATTTCAAGTCGTCGGAATTTTAGAATCATATAATTCAGATTTATAAGTTCTGAAAAATAACGAGCTGATAAAAATATCGCGTTAAGTAAATTCCTAGCACGTCGTGTCATAAAACTAATTTTTATTATGACTTGAGGAAGTGCAAAATAAGGTTTATTCGATAAGCGCACTTCAACTTAAAAGAATTAGAAAATGTGTTGGATATTTTCGACAAAGTCTTGCAATGTAAAAATCATGGCGTATAGTTTACCTCACGATTAGAGTCCCAGGCTGCTCTCCGTGGCTTCCTCGATGAAAAACTGGTAGTTTGTCTATGTCGTGAATGTTTTCTTTATCTGTGAAATGCCCCGATATCTTGGTACTTCTGCGATTTGGCGATCGCTTTGAGGGGGATATTTGCAAAAAGCTATCGGAATCATTTAGATCGAGTTCTTTGAGTGGCTCTTGAAGCGAATCATCGAATGACGAGGAATTCGGATTATCGAAGTACTTCGTCATAACCAATTAATTTATCGTTCAGCACTACCTACGAACAGTTTAAAAAATAGCAACTAACAAAATCTGAGATCGTATAAACTCAAACGCATATGATGCCTCAACTGTTCAAACAACCTAAAAGTTGATAATTAATCGTAGTCTAATACGCAGCTATACAAGTTGAAGCATTTATGCTATTCAAGAACTGTACCGCCTACTTCTTTAGGGTCGACTTCCCTAAACACGAACTAAACACAAATTGTTACAGTAAAACACTTGTCAACATGTTGTCAAAACAACAATTTTCATGTAGCGTCCATAGCACATTCGCCCAACGACACTAACGGCAATTTGTAATTGATTGTTTTACAATATTTCGAGCTGAGGCCTGCCCACTGAGGTAGCCACCACCCATTAGCTGTTCATATTTGCCGCCGTGGGTAGTTAACCATTCATTCCAATGCGGGTTCATTCATAATCATCGGTGCGTGAGGGAAAATATTGTTCGTGCGGTTATTGAACGATTTAATTCTTTTATCTCGTCCGTATTCAATTACTTTATTACGCATACTAATAATACATTCCGTGATATGTATCTATTTCATCACGTGGCTAGTGCCCTCGCGCTTACTTACAATTGCCTCATGCTACTAGAACCATGGGTGTTTTCACAACGCCGATTAAATCACGTTCATTATGCTGTTGTTTCGAATGGGTATTCGGCCTTGTGATATCGCTGGAACTGCGCTTTGTTAATGAAAATGATTGGTAATATATCGAAGTTTGTTATTATTGGATTCAACGGAAAGGTGTCGCCCGTGTTGGGAATTGCAGCAAAAAGGTGGCTTATACTTGTCTGACTTGTACGGTGACTTATATAACTGCATAATCATGTAATAATATAAGAAAACCAATATTTGCTTCGCGAAAGAGATTTAAATATTAGTTATTGCCATGGTAGCATGTTATACATTGCCATTCAGGTTATTGAAAATTTTGGTACTAGGCCTACACGGGACTTATTGCAATATGAAATAATTTTGAAAAACAGGACTGTCTGATTGTAACCTTGGGTTTTTTCATCAACTAAGTTAATGTAACAGTATTTAGGTACCGTAGGTATTGCAGTAAGGTAAAACTGAGATGTAATCAGGTCTGAAAGACCCTGTGCCCCCATACATCCATATACAGATATATCTGTATATATTCAATTGCAGAATTGAGGCTTTGGTTGTGTATAATCATATTCTTCTGATAATCATAATTCTATTGAAATTGCAAATAAAAAGATGTTTGGCAGAGGGAGCATATTCAGACATTAGTTGATGACATTGAACATGGGGTTTGAATTAAAGTCATTGTTTCTAGTCTACTATAGCTGTTTGCTGATATGGCAATATGGGACATTACTGTAATATGTATCATGTGACCTGAAGCCTGACCACGAACTTGAAACAATTTTTCATCTTCAGTGTGCCGATTGCGTACCATTATCCTAATTATTTTTAAAATTCCTTTTAATTTTCCAGGTTTTCAACTTCAGCAAAATCATTGAAAAATGATGTAGGAATATTGAAAGGAAGGAGTTTTCTAACATTGAAAGATTACTCAAAAGATGAGATTGTCCATTTGTTAGATACTGCTTCAGACTTGAAGTTTAGAATCAAACAACAAAATGAGAGGTACATGTTTTTTGTTTTTCATATCAACAGTATGCCTTCTATTTTTGAAGGAAATATTAAGGAATCGATGATCAATTATTTCCAGACATGTTTTTATTATATGAAAAACTTATTCTTCAAGTTCTTATGCTCAGCGTATTAGAGTTATGGACATTCATTCATGCAATATATCATCTACATGGGATTTTTTGTTTAGGAAGCATTCAAATCTGACCAAGAATCATAGCTTCATCATACGTTTATGGCTGTTGTCCAAAATATTTTAAGCATAATATTGTGCATGACTCTATCCTTTATTTACTATGTAATGTTGTTTGGATGTATTCAAACACTCTGCTTTGAAAAGCTCCTTTTTGAAACTCTTTATGATTTCTTCAGTTTCCGACCACTTGAAGGAAAGTCTCTTGGAATGATTTTTGAGAAAAGAAGTACACGAACCAGGATATCAACGGAAACTGGAATGGCTTTGTTAGGCGGCCATGCTTGTTTCTTGTCACCAAATGATATTCATCTCGGTGTTAATGAGTCACTTCGTGATACAGGAGGGTAAGAATTATATTCATGTGACATAATATCTTAAAATGCATTGTTATTATAGTACCTCCAATTTTATTTCCTAATATATATTACAGAATTGCGAAAATGCATTATTGTGTGTACTATACATTTTGTTTATTTTTTGTAAAATTGCCGCAAAACAACTTCCAAACTCAACGGAGTAGGGAGTGGGAGCTGACAATTGAGTTGATCAAGCATTTTCAGCAGACAATTGATGGCGTGCTTGCGTATTGCAAAGTATTTGTTGTCAAACTTCGGTTTACCAGAACTGGAGTCAGAGTTAAATTTTCTCAACCTGGAACCTGGCACCATAATCATAATTTTTTTTTGGCGTCTGGTGTCAATTTTCTCTGACTTCTCAGCCCTGATTAATATCATTTTCTTCTTATGAATTTTCTCTCCAATCTAGTGTGATTTCCAACCAGCCACCATCTTTATTTAGGGTTTTGTCAGGATTGGTTGACTGCATTTTTGCACGAGTATACCAGCAGTGCGATTTGGAGGAATTGGATAAATATAGCAACATTCCTGTAATAAATGGATTATCTGAGATTTATCATCCATTGCAGGCTTTAGCAGACTATATGACTTTAATTGTAAGTTTGAATTATTTTGAAATTGATCGAAATTTAAAGAATCCCAGTAGTTGGGAATTTTTGCATCCTGCAAGGTAGAGACGCCAAGCCCGACTTTATTCTCTAACATCATTTTTGAATTACAGGAACACTTTGGTGATATAAAAGGAAAAACAATTGCTTGGGTTGGTGACGGTAACAATATCATACACTCATTGATGATGTGTGCTCCCATATTAGGAGTTAATTTACAAATTGCTACTCCGAAAAAATATGAAGTGTTAAAACGAGTTGCAAGGTACATGTTGACATTTCATTCATATTGAAATTACTTTATTAGAAATGGCCTTTTTTAATAATAGCTTCATGTAGGAAAATAGTAGTGTAGTATGTAGTATTCAATACCAAATATATAATAAATAATTCTAATGATATTTTGGCTTTTACACTAGGAAAGTGCCAGATAGCATCATTTGGATCTAATTGGAAGAATGCTAAACTATCACAATGTTAGGCATGTTTACATTTGAAAAAATGATACTATGGCATTTTGATACTATCGCCCAAATACTTTGTGCCAGAAGTTATATTTCTGGCTTTTGCTTTCATGTCATTACATCAAATGAATAGTAAATACACATGTGCGTTTTTTAGTAAATTTAATGTCATCCAATGAGAAGTGTGTTATATTGTCTTAATATGACAATTTACTGGTTGCAGGGATGCAGCGGAACTTGCTTCTGAGTTTGGAACCAGAATTGAATATACAACCGATCCAGTCGAGGCTGTTCAGGGTGCAAATGTCATTGTTACAGACACCTGGGTGTCTATGGGTCAGGAGGAAGAAAAGCAAAGGCGTCTCAAAGACTTCGCTGGATATCAAGTCACAATGAAGGTTATTCTTAACATTTAAAACTTTCTCATTGTGGATTTTCTGCTGATGCACAGTTGTTGATGTGTGTTTGCAAGTTTTTCTCACATTGTTACTCAGACTTCATCACTGTCTGTTCCTGCGATACACTGTGATTTGGTCATTGAATTTATTATACAAGACAAGTAACGAGTTGATGTAACTTTCTAAAACAGCTAAAATTGAAGAGTATATTTAACTTTTGCAACAAATATTGTTAGTAACTAAATACTATATTATTGACATTAGATTTTTGAACACATGCCCATTTATTATATCTTTTTTTGAAAGGTTTTCACTTTTTTGCTTCTAGGTATGGTGAAACTATGTTTTTTGACTTAATCTTCTCATTTCAGCATAATTTATTTCGTTACACATACGTACTAGTTATTGGGTTAGAACAGGGCTTCTCAAACTGGGGGTCTCGACCCCAAAGGGGGCACGCAATAATTTTTAGGGGTCGCAAAGAGCACCAATTGCATACAAAGTACTATATCTATTGTACTTTTAATTCGAAACACAATTATTAAAACTAATGGAAAACATAAATATTACGATTTCGAGATAATACCTAGGATCCAAGAAACTGCGCACTTGCCTAACAATGACGACTTCGATCGTAAGACCCGATAAGCGGCGTGCTACTCTGAATAGGGGGTTGCATAAAATTTAAACAAATTGGAAGGGGTTGCGAGCCTAAAAGTTTAGGAAGCCCTGGGTTAGAACACAAGATCTCCAACTTCTGCGCAAACTCAAATATTAAATCAGGGGCGAAGCATTGGTTTCCAAATTTATGAATGTGAATCAATATTTTTATTCAAATGTCTGTATTATTATTTTCTTAGATGTGCGAGGGTGCAGCAGATGACTGGTGTTTTCTTCATTGTCTTCCACGAAAACCAGAAGAAGTTGATGATGAAGTTTTCTATTCCAAAAAATCTCTGGTTTACCAAGAAGCTGAAAACAGAAAATGGACTGTGATGGTATGAGTGTAGAAAACAATTGAGTAAACTGTTGTTTAGCATATTTTTATCATAAATATATACCATTTAATTGTTGTCTCTAAATGAGTCAATGAAATTTAAATTTCTTCACCATGCTCGCTAATATTTGTTCAGTGAGTGTATATTTTTCACATAAAATACTTGGTATTCGTGGTTGCTGGTTACTTTGCTCAGAGATCAATCCGCACAATTTTTGAGCGAGGTCCCGTGTGTGTGTGACCTTGCTTTACTCTCATAAGGCAAAATACTCTTATAAAGCAAAGCGTTAAGATTAGTTTTTGTATATATTTGATAGTTTCATCTTGTATTTCTTTATTTCAGGCTGTGCTGGTGAACTTGATGAAGGGCTATCACTTAAAGTAGAAGCTCTGGTATCGGGCATGTTGCAATTGATGAAACAGTGCATTTAACCTGTTATGGTACCTTCATTCCGATATGTCACTGCCGCCCTTGTATTATTTGAAATTTTCTAATATTCGAATAGCGATAGAAAGTTTGTGGATATGAATATTGCATTTTTTGCTTCTGTAAAAAAATTTGATGAAAATTTTGACTTTGCGTGTGAAATTATTATTATTTTTTATCTTCAAGCTTATAATGGTTGCTGAAACAGAGCATCGTAACAGATTCAGCCCAGTTGAAATTAAGTTATGGTAGTTTACGAAGCACTGTACACAATAACACAGAAGCCTCTTCAGTGTCCCTCTAATAGGTTCCCTAATTTGGAAGGAATGATTGATGGACTTCAGTCTTGATGTTGATTCTATTTACATTGATGGAGACTTGTGTTCCTTAAAATTTACGTCCCCTCGATCATTGATTAAAGATTTTTAAGGACTATTGTTGAATTGAGATACATGCAGTTATTTTCGAGTAGAAAATCTAGTTTCAATTATTTCCAATTTGAATTTATTTCATTACAATATCTTATCCAAACGACGGCCATGTACCTTGAATACGCCACATATAACAATTAAGATAGGATAGGATTTACATATTCATCTCTGGAGAGAGAAAATCAAACAAAACGGCTTAATTATATGACCATCTCTTCCGGTTACAAGTCCCTGTCGGGTGAGAGAGAATTTATTTTTTTCGTCAAAGCAGAAAACGTGATGATACAATACAATAGCAAATATATAATTGGACGTTACATAATGCAGTTTTCGGTTTATTACTGGGTGATAACGATACGATCATAATATGTTATGGGATTAGCTAGCCATTTATTTGTCAGATGCATGGTGAAAAAAACCGTAACAGACCAGCGGTTATTTGAATCACCCTTATTCCGCGGCGAGGAGTCTAGCAATCTTGCACGCATAATTATACCAGCATGAGATTCGAACCCGGTGTGGTGTCGAGCGTATTCCTAACGGATTTAGAGGACCCAACAATTATTTCGTTTATTGGACACGTAGTGGACATAACGATCGTTTCAATATTATGTTGTTGTTGTTCTTTGACACGTTTTTAAAAAGTCGCTTTTCTCTTCGAATACTGGACCAATTGCTTTGAAATTTTCAGTGGTTAAAGATAAAAATTTTCTCCAGAAGGCTATTACTTTGTTTTCTGCTATGACGTCATCAAAATTATGTGACTCTACGTGTCCATATATTTGAGCATAGCTCTCTTGTAATTAATATTGCATTATATGTTGTTTTATTATTATTTGTTATTGTATCATCATGTTTTCTGGTTCGACGAAAAAATAAATGTTCTCTCTCACCACGAAGCCTTTCAAATAGGATTGGAGTTTTTATTTTATTGGGGGAATACAAAATCCCATTCAAATAACTTAGCGAGGATATAAAAAAATCAATATTTTCCTGATCCCAAAGAGAATGGGTCGATATTAAGTTAGGTTGGAGGTACATTCAATTTGTTTATCATTGCGTACCGTTGGGGTCCATATTATCTAACAAAAACAAATGAATAAATACAGCCAACTACAAAAATAGCACAAACTTTGTATTCTCGTATATTTGATACTTCTTAATTGAGTATTTGGAATATTGCTATCGATATTCAGTGGGCTTTAACTCCGCTGTATACCAGCATTTTCTGGATACTTTTTACCAAAAAAATGCTAGAAATGCATTTTTTTATGTTCACAATGAAACCCGTTTTCTCGCAAATGTAACATTCTCGCCCCGATATCTCAACGCATTCATCCGTGGCTACACACATGTTCGCTGAGCTGAGCGATTTTCAGAAAATCGATTGTTCTGTTGTTCGTTTCTGCCGTCTTACAGTTTTAGCATCGGCCTGGTTGCTTTTTTGTATAACGCTTATCTAATAAATTCACATAAAATGTCGGGAGAAAGCGAAGAATTCAAAACCGTTCGGAGTAGAAAAATGAAATCTAAAAGAAAGATGGAGATGGATGACTCGGGACCCACGATCAAAAGACCACATTTTCCACAGATAAGCGGGGACAAATTATTGGTAAATAACTAATTTAATGATATAGTGGTATTAAATACTGAAACTTTGATTTCTTGAAATGGTTCTATTGCTACTTTCCGGGTTTGAACTGATTAAAAATCCTGAAATCAGGATAATTTAAAAATCATTCATTATTTAATGAGCCTTCCATCCCTTAATTGCAAAAGTTTTTAGAACTACAGTGCTTTGTTTTTACACTGAGTGAGGATGGACTATAAACGAATAATAATAACGGCCTTGGCCCAGTGGTTCGTGCATCATGCTAGTCAATACTTGGATAGGAATACGCTTGTAACAGTGTAATGGCATCTTTGATTACATTGCATGGATTCGAATCCTGTGGGGAATGATTATGTGTGAGAGGATTGCTGGGCTGCCCGGTGGGTGGTTAAACAGTTATAGCTTCTTTCGCCCATGTCCAGATGTCTGCATGTGTTTAAAACAACTCATGAAATTATTGCCATAATCGACTTGGACTGATAACCGGACGAAATGCTGTGGTTTCCATATGAATAAGCTGCTTTATTGTATTCCCTTCTTTTAAATATGACAGTACAGCAGTATGATTTGCTCTTGGTAACGATTGGGATAATAGAGTATACTGATATTGTGTTAAAAAGGTGGTGCAGGATAAACTTTTCAGGCTTACTAGTCCAGTTCTGGCATGGGAATGTCTTTCAAAATGTTAGTTCTACAGTTCTAGGTTAACGTTTTCATTACTATTTATTCTTTTTTTGAAGAAGCTCTAATGGATTATATTATTTCACCAGGATGGAAAGAAAGATTTCAGAAAAATTCCTGTGCCAGCTAACAGATATTCACCATTGAAAGAAAATTGGTTAAAAATATATTCTCCTGTTGTTGAACAACTCAAGTTACAGATAAGATTTAACCTCAAAACTAGGAATGTAGAATTACAGGTGAATAAATCATCCTTTCTCTACGATTCATGATGATTTTGTTCTAGAAGAAAATCTGGACACCATATTTTAATTCTAAATTTTATTTGCCGGTTGTGTTAGATTCTTGAAAACTATCGAGGTTCAACTGTATAAATGATGTGAACTAATCAGTTACCTATTTTATGATAGATAGAACAACATTAAATACATTTCAACTGTTCAAAGTACAAAAGCCAGTCGTTTCTTTTCATAAGACTTGCAATAGTACCGTCTATTTTGGAAATCCTCATTTCTATTCAAAATCCTTGATCATTAATAATTGCTTGTTGAATTTATCAGTCTCATTTATTTTGTGATCGCTAATATCAGATTTTTAGTCTTTGGCCGAATACAATAATTTTGTCAATTTGAATATTGATTACGGTATCTACAATACATGTTGGGCAGCTACATTAGGGAGAATATTATTGGCTTTCCCCCAATTTTTTTACTCAAACTTATCAGTATAATAAACAATACTAAGCAATAACCTTTTGATTTTATTATAATATTTTTTATAATTCTTTTCAAGACTTGCAAACAAACTACAGATATTGGAGCATTACAACGAGGTGCAGATTTTGTCAAAGCGTTTATATTAGGTTTCACTGTTGAAGATGCACTTGCGCTTGTTAGGCTTGATGAACTTTTTCTTGAATCTTTTCAAGTTACAGATGGTGAGTATCATCAATGTTGCATATATAGTATATGCTCTTTATATGTGATTGAATTTGCTTTAAACAGAATAACAGTAAATGAAAATTAAGTAACACACATTCTTTATGAGCTGTGTAATGACAATGTTGTTTGTTAATCTGGGATGCTTTGCACAAATGTTATGTTTTCTATAGAATATGTTTTAATTGACTTTGGTTCTGTTTTTGGGGGTCACTTTTTGCATCTATTTTGTTAGCTGATCAATGAATCTTGTGGTAATTCTTAGTAGTTTTTACCAAGCTCAATTCAACTCCAATCCTGTATTTGTTGTTGATTTTTGAAAATATTTTCAGATTCTTCGGCTTTATTTGTTCATATTTTTTTCAGTTAAGCCGTTAAAAGGAGATCACTTATCAAGAGCTATTGGTAGGGTAGCTGGTTCTGGTGGAAGAACAAAATTCACAATTGAGAATGTTACGAAATCGAGAATTGTATTAGCTGATTCGTAAGTACATTTCAAATCTTCACTTTCGCACTTGACCTTTGAAACAAGTTGATAATTTTTGTTGTGAATTCATGATTTCACTCAGTAATAATTGACATAGTAGTCGTATACCAATCCATGTTCTTTATCAGGGCATGCGTAACTGTTTGGTGAAATTTTTATCTTTTGTTCAACAGGCATATTCACATTTTGGGATCGTATCAGAACATCAGATTAGCCAGAACTGCTATTTGTAATTTAATCCTCGGTAGTCCTCCTTCAAAAGTATATGGAAATTTAAGGTCTGTTGCTGGAAGGGTTTCAGAAAGATTTTGAATTAATTACTGCCTCATGACATGGATAACCCGATTGGCTTGATTGATAATAATCCTGTGATACAGTGGCATGATCAATATGTTGCAGAATGATTTCAAATTTCATCTTATTGCCTCTGTACTGACGCGATACTTCTCTAATACATTATATTGTAAAAACGATCGAAATTTGCAGTATTTATAGCTTGTCGTCTTGATCTTAAAGGTGTAGATCAGGGGTCGGGAACCCACGGCTCGCGAGCCATATATGGCTCCCAGAAAAATCTAATATTCTAAGACTAAGCTTACTATTGTTACGAGATTTCAAACACTTTTATAGCCAATTTTGGCAGGAAATTCCCAATACGTTTGAGAACGCGCACCCAGCACATGTCTATGTTATGTAAGATAATCACCAGATAGGCATTGTGACATCACAAAGCGACAGCTTTATGAACACTACAGAGATGCCTAAACGAAAAAGGGTGATGAGTACCGCAGATTTCAACTTGGGCTGCAACTGCAAGTGAGCAACTGTTCAAGGCCCGCAGCGACTACATGCAGCATCAGAAATCATATTAATAAATGTATATTGACATTGTATGTGTTGACTTTTTGAGTAAACATTTCAGGCCTGATTAAGTGAAGAAATGTCATATGGCTCGCACGGAAATGCAATTAAAAATATGTTTATTTTATGGCTCTCTAGACCAAAAAGGTTCTACTGAAGAAATACTTTATTGAACTAGCATTGTAATTTTGAGAACAAATATTGCATAATAATAGCAATTTCAAATAAAAGAAAAAGTACTTGATAATTATAGTATGCGAGGAACTTACATTGCCAGTAATCTAATCGTGTGGAAATGCAGGATTAGGTATTCAATTCGCTAACTACATAAAAAAAAGGAAACCTCGATATGGATTAGAAGAGCCAATATGTGGCACCTTTGATGATTTTTAATTTATGGTAGAACATTTGACTTGTGATAAATGTAATTTCATTGTGAGGACATTAAATTACTCAGGTTATGAGATTACAAGTTGCACATTTCTTCAATGTTATATAGGCAAAGAGACCATTTTCTCAATCTAAAATTTCTAGCTGATGAAGAGCAAATGATACTGTAGAACCGACCAGTCCCAGCATTCCAAAATGTCCAAATCTTCCCCTTGTCCTGTTAGCTGGATTGCCCGTATAGTATCCTTTTGCATAAGCAATACGCCCCAGTACCCAAAGCATTCCACATGCAGATGCGAATTTCTAAAAAAGATGAGACAAATGCCTTGATTTAAAATTATTACCTCCCATCTTTCAATGTCTGAACGACAATCATGCCAATGAAATTAAGTGGGAGTAAGAGCCGAGGTAGAGTCGCAGACGAAGTTTGCATATAGCAACATATCAAATGGATACATATTGTGTTTCACTGACCACTCCACAAAAGTTAAATGTTCGAACATTTTCAGTAGACTAAGCTTATCGACATTGCCACCAGACTTTGTTAACCCTGTCCCTGCATATTTGCTACTACCGGACCTAACTCTGCATAAAATTTCAGAGAGATCAGTTTAAATTTTTTTGGCCATTATGAAATCTTACCGGATGTTGTACTCCACCAAGACCAAGCAGAAATAAGAATTGTGGCAGTTGCTCTACAGTATTCTGGTGAGCACGTTGGATGCAATTGAATATCTGATTTTCATCACTGTACATTTTTGGGAACTGAAACAAAGGAAGTTAGAAACATTTGAAAGGTTCTGGGTGGTAAATGAGTTAGAACTGCCAATTGCAGAATTGTGAGAGGTGCTAGAGACCCGATGCAATTATGTGATGAGTGAATGAAAAAATGTATTGCTTTATGGTATTAATGTTTGGCACTCAGGGCTGTAGGGTCTCAGTCTGCAGGTCTGGTGAAAAAGTCCTGAAAGAAGTAACTAGCACAGAACGATTCAACCTGAAGAAATTTTCAGGATATACCAGGATGCATCATGGTCAGAAAAAAGCAGGGTCGATCAAATGGAAAACCGATCGTCTACTTCAGCAGTTATTAGTTAGGATTTGGTTGATGAATATCGGGGTCTCATGTACTTTCGTACCTAACATACTTCCAGTGGGCGTAGCATAACAATTTATTTACGTGTCAATCCTAACCCCCACCTTATTACACTATCCAAAAATTATGTCACTACAACGTCACAGTGACGTAATATAGCCCTTCAAACTAAACGCACCGTCATCCAAGACGAGCACCCGAAATCCGACATCTATTCTCTCGTTTTTTCATCGCAACGATCCCTATATAAGAGAGATCGTCAGGTACTTCTTTATCCTCGGCGCCGATGCTATTTCGGGCGATTGTACTTTTATTTGACAAGCTCTATGACGTGATTGTGAAGCTGTAGTGACGTAATTTTTGGATGGCGTAGTCAGATGGGGGTTAGGATTGATATGTCAAAAAATTGTTATGCTACGCCCTCTAGAAGTATGTTAGGTACGAAACTACACAAGAGCCGAATACAGGAATATCGTAGCCTGCTTATTTTTGTATTTTCATTTAAACCATTATGCCTAACTGCACGATTAGTACAATGACTTGTATGTTACGGTACCATACCATATCGGTACTCATCAGCTAAATCAGACCACGGTAAATCAAAATTTTACCGGCACATCATATTTCTTCCTGGCTTTATTCACATTGATAACACTCATCCACATCATTAACGCCCATGCTGCTGTTCCAGTCAGCGCCACATATCCATATTCTCTGGGCAAAACGTTCTTCATGTTGAAGATTCTAACAAAATCTAATACAACACGAATTACACGATGATAAGCTCTGGACAAACAAGGAATGCCAGAATGACGACTTTGGAGACGTGCAGAATGCAGGTTCAGAATGAATCTGCATCATTTCATATTTTAGTGTCCGGAGTCATGCTGGGCCGGTTTCATGTCCGATAATGTATTTTTTTGTCTTCTCAATTGCTAAGTTATTATTAGAAAACGAGTTCTTTTGTATCGAATGCTTTTACCTTTCACCCTTCATTATCGAACTGAAACTGCTAAGATGGTTCTTTAGAAGTTTTCTCGGCGTTCGGCCAATCAAGTTTGTTCCCGATATTCAATTCCTTCAATCGTATTTTAGTGAATTGTTGCTTGTTGGACACGAAATGGACATAACGATCGTTTCAATATTATGTTGTTGTTGTTGTTGTTCTTGTTCTTTGACACGTTTTTAAAAAATCGCTTTTCTCTTCGAATACTGGACCAATTGCTTTGAAATTTTCAGTGGTTGAAGATAAAATTTTTCTCTAGAAGGCTATTACTTTTTTTTTCGCTATGACGTCATCAAAATTATTGCCATTGGGTGGCGCTACGTGTCCATATATTTGAACATAGCTCTCATGTTATTTGTATGTCGGGATTGGACGACTTCGCTGTCTACATAAAACGTAGCCTTTCCATCGGTCATACTTTTGTGTTAAAATATTAGGCGGGTTTATTCAACTTTTCCATTGCATTGTTAGGGTATAGTAGGCTATTACATAGTATATAGAACATTTATATTTCACATAGCCGTCACGATATATCATACTGTGTATTATTCCAATACCAAAACATGAGCATTCTGCAACATATGGTAATGAGTACATTGTAACCCGAACCATCATTTCCGGCTCGGATGTTATAATAAGGACATGAGACTGTCAATATATAGCGCATGCGGTTGCTTTAGAAAGAATTCCAGCCACTGCGTACTGACAATTACACGTGGAACAGCTGGATTAGCTGCAGTAGATTAGGGAAAATGTAGAAAGAATTATGTTCAGCTAGTAATAGTTTAGATTTATGGGTATATTGCAAGAATTGTAGTTCAGAGTTTTCATCCGCATATTATTCATAATAAATTCATGGCAACTATGATAGCGAGTACATCATGTAAATGGACTTTTCGGTATACACAGCAATTATAGAAGTCTTGTTTTTTTCGTTCAATTTTACAACTACAAGGTAAGTTTCGGATAAAAATATATATGAACTTGGTGGAATTTTTAACATACAGTGTTATTTTATGTATAAAACTCTTAGATTTGATAAAATAATATTTATCACACGGCTAACAATCTACTGTATATATCATTCATTATTGGCAACCCAAGTTTTATGATCCTACTTTCTGTGGGCACTTGGGATGAAAGGTCTTTTTCTTGATATATTTATAGCAGCTTTCATCAAAATTACATTTCACTTATTTCATAGTAGATTTCCGTACGTGTATTTTAACAACTTGAAATTGTGCCCATCGTTATTTATGGGCGTACTCGTCAAGTTTATGGAATTCTTGTCTTGCTCAAGGAAAAATAGTTTGAATATGCAATAGGTCTATTATAATGCAATAATATCAATAAACCTAAATTTTAGTTTAATAAAGCTAGTTTCACATTTACTCTGTATCTGAAAGTTTAAATTTTTGTTAATGAATGGATTCACATAGTAGATTTCCGTACGTGTATTTCAACAACTTGAAATTGTGCTCATCGTTTTTTATGGGCTTACTCGTCAAGTACATGAAATTCTTGTCTTGCTCAAGGAAAAATAGTTTGAATATGCAATAGGTCTATTATAATGCAATAATATCAATAAACCTAAATTGTAGTTTAATAAAGCTAGTTTCACATTTACTCTGTATCTGAAAGTTTAAATTTTTGTTAATGAATGGATTCACATAGTAGATTTCCGTACGTGTATTTCAACAACTTGAAATTGTGCTCATCGTTTTTTATGGGCTTACTCGTCAAGTACATGAAATTCTTGTCTTGCTCAAGGAAAAATAGTTTGAATATGCAATAGGTCTATTATAATGCAATAATATCAATAAACCTAAATTTTAGTTTAATAAAGCTAGTTTCACATTTACTCTGTATCTGAAAGTTTAAATTTTTGTTAATGAATGGATTCACATAGTAGATTTCCGTACGTGTATTTCAACAACTTGAAATTGTGCTCATCGTTTTTTATGGGCTTACTCGTCAAGTACATGAAATTCTTGTCTTGCTCAAGGAAAAATAGTTTGAATATGCAATAGGTCTATTATAATGCAATAATATCAATAAACCTAAATATTAGTTTAATAAAGCTAGTTTCACATTTACTCTGTATCTGAAAGTTTAAATTTTTGTTAATGAATGGATTCACATGACAAATATTATTACCGTATATGGGCTGTATATAATAAATATATATATATATATATATATATATATTTACCTTCGATGTTTTTTCCAATTTATAACTATATTATACACAACTCCTCTGATTTTTGTGGCGTTTATGTCTTTAGGCTTTATTCTTTTGAGTGTAAATAATTCAAACTTTGAGAAGTTTTGCCTAATGTGTGCATATATCGCATTGTACTGAGTATGGTATATATATATGAATAATAACTCTTGTGCAAAACAAAAAAAAAGTATTTCAAATTATATAGGAGCGTCCATCGGAGTGTAGTACTGCAAGTGCAAACCCTCTCTTTGAATTTGTAGTTTAGAACTGTTTATATTTTAGTTACAGTACACAGTTTGTAAATGGAAGGTTACGAACCTAGTCGAATTAAGTTATCACTTGATAGACATTTAAATCAGTACCATAGTTCGACAATTATTTGAATTATTTGTCTTACAAACTTTTTCATGCCTATTTTTACAGGGTTGAATAACTGAAAAAAGAAGTATGAAACTTTTGTTAATAAGTTTACTGTGTGTCTGTCACGTTAATTGTATGTTTTACCTACTTGGCGAAAAAGAAACGAGATGCATTTTTGATGAGTTGTCCGAAGGAGCTACGACAACATTCCGTTACAACTCTTCGATATCATCTGGTGATCCAATTGGTCTAATTGTGCGAGTACACGATCCAGACGGAAAACTAATGCTAAAAAGAGAATATGGCAGCGGATCAACTGTTACTTTCACAGCTCATAAAAGTGGTGAGCACGCAATATGCACGAGCACAAATTCAACGAAGTGGGCGATGTATGCTACAGGTGAGAGACAAGCATACACTAAATTATTTTTGTTTGGTGTGAGAAATAAAGCCTAGATATTTCGGTACCATTTTTATTTTCATAGAATTATAATTTATAATAGAATTTATAATCATAGGAACAAATTAATTGAATCGTCTACGACTTATTCAGTCGGGACTTTTTAGAGGATATATCCTGCGTATTGTTGTATTGTGTTTTTTTGCTCAGTAGAAGTCGAATTTGAAACCGTATTCTTCTATATACTCAGATAAAATAAATAGTAAACCTGAAGGTGCTGTTGCCTGTTGAAACATATTGGGTGCAGCGATGGATAACATTTTTTCCTCTAACTATATTTCAAAACGTATGTGTGATAGTATGCATATAATTCTCGGGGAAGGAATTTGTTTCACTGGTAACAAATTATTTGTAAGGTTATCGTAAGTGTTAGAAGTCAATCAGGTGTGTTTTTTACCATCAAAGGTATTTCATTATTTGGTAATGAGCTTTGTCAAGGATAGAGCCTGTTTTTTATCAAATTTTATACTTTGATTCAGGCCAAATAAAAGTATCATTTACGGTTGACACTGATCAGCCAAAAAGTTCACAAGAGAGGAAAATCCGTAAAGATGATGACGACGACAATGGTGATGATGATGATGATGAGAATGACGAAGACGATGATGAAATTACGAACGGTGGTAACAAGCTGATTTCTTTGCAAAAGAGAATACGGGCTGTTATGGAGTCAGTTGAATTTATCACCCAAACTCAAAATTTATACAGGAGAGCGGAAATGAAATTTCGAGATAGAGCGGAAACTATAAATAGTAGAGTATTAATTTGGGCGTGCGTCCAACTAGCAGTATTACTATCAACTGGATGGTATCAGATGCGTTCTTTAAAAGCTTTTTTCATAGCTAAAAAGCTGGTATAATCAGTAACATCAAAACTGAAATAACAAAAGTAGAAATTCGAATAACCTATTAGCAATGGAGTATATTATGTTGTTTTGGACGTTTGCAACTTTTATCCGCTCACGGTTTAGTTATAAATGTTTGCTTAGAATAATGTTGTCCGATTTAAAAGAATACAGACACTGTTTTGAATTTCGATCGTTCGAAATCTGTATTTGTCGTCACAACATTTTTTAAGAAGCAGTGGAAGCTTCGCCCTACGCAATCCGTTAATACCAACCACAAGTATATCGCCTTAGTTATTTTAGCTCGTCATGTATTAGGAAGCAGTTGCAAATTATATTTCCAATCGTAGAAATTGAGTACATCTTTGTTGGAACGACAATTCTTAGGTTGTTGTTTATCCCATATCATAGTGTAAACATACTAACTCATGTTACAGGGATTACCTGTGGAAGCATTGCAATTGGTATGCGATAATGTTTGAAAGATTCAGAGTATAAGATAATAAAATTGGATATTGGATGAAACGTATTTGAATTCATTTATTGTGACAGAACGCGTGAACCACTGGAAATGGGGGGACAATGAGTCAATTTTGAGGAGAAATATCCGATAGTGAATAGTGAAGATTCAGAGTATAAGATAATAAAATTGGATATTGGATGAAACGTATTTCAATTCATTTATTGTGACAGAACGCGTGAACCACTGGAAATGGGGGGACAATGAGTCAATGTTGAGGAGAAATATCCGATAGTGAATACTACAGAGAAACTCTTTCTTTATTTGTAATTTGCTTGTTATGTCCGAACTATAGCCCATGTCTGACAAAGATAAAAATAAACACATGCTGCCTAATTATCGATTGTTTTGAGTTTCTTTTATATATATAAGTCAGGTAATTTATTGCATGATTTAGCAGGTGCTCGCCTTGAATGTCATGATTCGATGATGGTAAAAGAGTTTGCTTTTGTATTGCTAACCATTCGAGTAATCGCTAATAATGTCCACCGATGCGCAAAGGATATTTGAATGTTCGTATTGCTTTGCGTATACTAAACATTCGTCAGGGTCAATTATGAATAATTAAATAAATGGCGCTCCAGAAGTATGTTTACCAATATAGAAGTAACTAATTTTGTTTGCCTACTTTACACCGAGTTGTGTAAAGTGACGGAAGCCTATCGGCCCCCTGGTATACTCGCTTGACAAACACAGACAGTCCTGTAACTCGTAATGGAACCAAAATAAGGAAAATCAGAAAAAGAACTTAATCTGGTACAAATACTACGGGAACACCGAATAAAGTACAATATGCAGAAGTTTACCTCGAATAGCTTTCCTCGAAGAAGCATGGACAATTTTTGTTTCAACTACAAAAACACTATAATAGAACAAAATTATATCTCAATTTGGTACTGCTTTACGCAATATTTTCCTCATCCGAAATTTTTTACTTGAAAATTAAAACAAGCGTGTAAATTAATATTTATTTTTTCACCAAATAGCAACGAAAATTAAAAAAAAAGGTTCAATTTTAAAAATGCAGTAATGTACTGTTTTAGTTACATATGTTTGAATATATAAAGATGAGTTTTTTAGTGCTGTCTGTGTAACTCATGAATTTCTTTTTGAATCTGATGACAGTTAATCGCATTAGAATATATACATTATACAATATGAGTTTTATGATCATACAAATAAATAGTCAAAAGTGAAAAATTGATAAGGCTTGTGTTAGTTGAAATGAAAGATTATAAGTATCAATACAAAATAGTGTTAAATAGGATAATATACTGCAAATATCAGCGTCGACTTTAAAAACAACTAGCTTCATTCGCCTGAATATGTAGAAAATATAAAAATTGTTTTATCAAAACGTTTGCTTCGTACTGGTCGTTCGTTTCATATGCTTTCTTTTATGACAAAGGTTTTGGATTACAATAACACATTCATAGTTCATGAATCTTGCATTGTGTGTAACAGGCAAGTATAGAGCAAGTATAAACTCGATAAATTAACTCTTCGACTTCATCAAAATTTGGTTTGGCTGAATGTTGACATCTTTCTTGGTGACTGGTCTATCTCGTTGTCCTCCGTTGTTTGGTATGATCGATTCACCTGTATAGAATGATACTGGTTATACAAAAGTTTTTGGACACGAGTTAGATCGTTTTTCAAACTCGTTATGGCTGTTGTGGAAATAAATGCCTTTATCCAACCAACCAACTAACGGACAAATCGTTTTCACATTATTTGTACTTAAAAACGAAAGAATTTGCTAAAAAGTTATTATTATCAATTTTCATCATATTTTCTCCGAGTCCTTGCATTCTATTTTGTTATTTTTATAATTCAGAGACACATCTTAATGTGACATTCCATACAATTCTTTCAAGAGTTGCCTAACATTTTGCTGACAATGGTGGTCTGATTGGTCAAAGGGTTGAAAAATTTTGCCAGCACTAGCCAATGATATATTATTGTAAAACCATAACCAAAGCAAATGTCATTTACAGGTTCCTTCAGTCGATTATATCTGATTTCATGAATCATTTTGTAAATTATTTACAAGACCGGTGTAAAAAACTGTTAGTTGTATTATCGGACGCGTCCAAATTCACTCAATAGATTGGGACAGGCTTTTGGTTGCATATAGCTGCAAACTGCCCATCCGTGAACCAACAAATACATTTTCCTACTGAATATGACATAGAAACGTTATTCAGAGTAAATGCACAAAGATATAGATTACATTTTAATTACAACAAGCCAGATAAAATCAATTTTATGACATATTTTGTAGTTCAATCTGACCTGTGCGTATTCATATTGTCTTGGATTTTGTTCTGAATTTTCATCTGTTGTTATCCAGTCATCTAATTTATGTGTTTCAGCATGAACATTTCGCGATACCTGTATTCCAAATGTCAAAAAATATAGTATTTTTGTAGAATACCACACTAATAAAAAGTCAATGATAAAACACTAAAAGCTGTTTCTTACCGGGGTATCATGTCCATTGCTATCGCTGATTTCGTGCACCTCTGTGGCTCTCAAGGTGTTGTCATATGGCTGTAATGAACAAAGTATTACTTCACGCATATGTAGGTATAGTCACAATAAGCTTCAAAGTCAAGATTATCTACTATCCTTCAATAAAGCTGAAATATGCAAATTTTGAAAAAAAATTCGATTTTTGCTGAAAAGTATTTCTGGACCTGTTTCATGATTATCCACTGTCTTTATGCATGACCAACTAAAACAAATACAATGCATCCAGAAAATGATGTGGGCCTACTATTATTATGCGCCGTCGTGTGATTATAAATCGTAAATAAATCAAATTCTCAATTAATCATAGAAAGCAATATATCCATAAACTACTTGTTCGTTCACAATTAACAAATTTCATACCGGAAAAAAAACAAGCAATAGTTGCAAAATAATTACAGTGAAGCATACCTGAAAATCTTGATTCGTGCCTTTGTACTGAAATCGATAGAAAGAAAAGAGAACTAACATGCAGCACATGCAAATCTTATTATAAATTCAATTGCTTACAATCATGAAAATCGATATTTTATAAGCAGAATTGATATTTTTCTTTGTATGGTGAATCAAAATATTGCAAAAAGTTGAAAATTATTTCTTACTGATTTGGGAACGACGCTACTCATTTGTTGATCCCATTCGTATGTATTTTTGTATCGTCCGTCTCTGGAAATCTTTCCATCCTACATTTTGTGAAAACCAATCATTCACGATCGTAGAATTGATAAGATAGGCAAAGAAAGAAAATTGACAAAGAAGGAAAACTAACGAGGACATGGAATTGCCTTGATAGACTTAAAGATAAGTCAAAACTGAGAGAACGGAAGGAGTAAATAAATGAAGTTTAAATCGAAAGAAATCCAGTTCAAGCCACAGGCAGCAAATTCAAACTACGCAAAATCAACAGCTAATAAGAATACTACAAAATTGCTCGCACAATGAATAAGCATAAACAAGTAAGCATGACTCACGTTTTCATAAATAACATTATCGTAATAATTCATCGAATTTTTCCACGATTTCTTTGCTCTTCTCTTTTTTATGCAACATACCACAACAACAATTATGGCGATGAAAACTAGCCCACTTATTACAACAACAAATACGAACAACCATGCTAAAAAAAGACATCTAGTTATATATAGACAGTATCTTTCTTAATTCCAGTAATATTCTTAGTATTTTATTCTTATTTATTCTTAGTATTTAACCACAAGTTGGTGCTGCACCGTATCCACCCAGCGATATAAAGTTTCGTAGAGTAAGGATGACTTAATGACTAATTTTTTCGTATTAGCTGAAGTTAATTTTTATCGTCTCGAATATCAAGAATTTTAGAAAAAAAGGTTGAAATCTAGAAATAATATCCAACGTATAGGATAAAGACTTACGCTCATAACAATTGGTTCCGTAAAATCCCCACATGCATTTACATTGTCCTACTCCATTTGCGGTATTTGTGCATTGTCCGAATGGTGCATTGCAGCCAGAATTCGTGTTGAATTGGCAAATTTGTTCTGGTATAATGTAACAAATATTTATTTCAAAAGCTTAGCAAAATTTATAAAGAAATTTAGCAAAACGAATATTAGATATTTATACTTTTTAAACTTATCGTCGAGATTAAAATATAAAATATTTTAAGGTAATATAGGAGATAGTAAACTTTAATTTTAGGTCGAAAATATATTTTATTATATAAAAGTGTGAAAAGTAAAGTTAAATTCTGCTTAGAATTTGAATTCAAAAATAATTCACATCACTAATAATAAACTTTCAAAGAATAGTCGGATCATTTCCCTAACTATTATATTGATAACAAATTCGCAACAGCTATCGAGTATTGCAGCAGTGCATGGTCAGATATGATATTATTTAACTTACTTATGCAAGAGTTTGGTGTGTCTGGATTTGAAACGAATCCTGCTTTACAATTGCAGTATATAACTCCTTCTGTGGTTGCGTCGCAGGAACTTGTAGAATTCTCGCAGAATTGAGAAGTCGTTGGCTGAGAGCACAGCACCGTGGTGGCACCTGAGTAAAAGATAGTTTGCATATATTTACATTTGCATACTCTTAAAACCACCACGATTAGAGTATTTTTGCAACTAATTTTACTCAGATCTTGGGAAAATTATCGCCATTTTTTATTTTGACAAGATGCATTTGAACACGCCAAGTAACAAGCATTGTACGTATTGTACTTGATCGGCATTACACATTTTGTGCAGCTTCCTTCAACACCAAAGCCGCTCCTTAAGATGGTAGCCCTCTAATGCTTCTACAGAGGTGCGTTCAAATGGTGAATGGAACTATATATCAATCCCCAGGCTTGTCCATGGGACATATTTTTCTGTCCCATTTCCATCTCATAGCAATTATGCCTGTCCAATCCCAGCTCATAGAATTCCCATTGGAAAAAAAATCAATAAAAACTGTTAAATTCAGATATAACGTCTAATAAATAGGACTACATGTAAGAAGAGGCATGCAAAACGTGTCCCATGGGAAATACATATGTGTGCTGTCCCACCCCATCCCATGGGACGTTTCCCATGGGAATCCCATTCCCATGGACAATACTCATAAATGTACATACTACAATGTAAAAGTGTAGTATACGAAACAGAGGAGAAAAGGGGGGAAAATTACCTCCTGCGTCGTTACAAGATTCATCTGATATTAGAGGTCCTGTTAAATCCAATCCTTGTGTACTACAATTCACCGAGTCGCACGTGCAATTATCAGGCTGCATATAAACAGTGATAAAAAAATAATGAAAAAAAAATAATATTTAAATTTTTTAAATTTTGGTGTTGTAATACACGATGGGTTGTTTTAAGGTTAAACATTTTGACCTTTTCATTGGTGTAACTTTTGTCAGTATTATGGCAATTTCGAAATTTCATTGTTATTTAATAATATCTGAGTGGGTGTAACACTTTCGATATTATTGCATCATGAAAAGGATAAAAGAAGGATTGTAAAAATAAATAAAAATAAATGAAATAATTTTTTTATAGCAAAAATATTGCCGACTTAACAACAGTACAAAGGGAAAGATTAAACATATAACCACCACCACATCCAAATACTTCTTATTTAAATGACGTCATAATGGTTTAGTGGTATGTAACTAAACGTATTTCGGTAATAAATCGAATGTATTAAGTAACGCCTATGTAAGGAAGTATTTAGAAATTACAGGGATACATACAAAATATGTATCATTGGTAAGAAATACTGCGAAAGACTCTTCAATTGTTGAGGAATTAACGGATTCGTCATCTTTTGTTGTGAGCTCATATTGAGCGACTGTACTCCCTCGTTTGAATCCTATAATTTTGACGTCGATGTACCACGTCTCATCCTTGTAGGCCAATTTCAACTAAAAATAAAAAAAAACACATTTATCTGATATTTTGTCTCGCGTACTTCGTTATAAGGGGTACATCTACTCTACAAAGAAACGTTACTTGCAAATAGTTTATACTGCTTTATACGCAATGATACAAAATTCAATACACCTTAAAGGTGATTTTTTGCTCAAATAGATTAAGTAAAAAACTCTTTAACCTAAATATTTGCTATATCAAGTTCAATTCACGCAAATTATATTTAAGTTGATATTGTTGTTTTTATTTGGTTCCATTAGTCGACTTTACTGTAAAATAAAATTCATGTTACGATATAAAGCAATGGTATCTAATTGAATATATTATCGTAATTCGTAATTGTAGCAAATTACGCCATTCATTAACTTGTTTTAGCATTCATAGTACTTACTACATTGATGTAAATTTCCTCTTGTTCCTGATAATAAGCTGAAAAGGGGTCGTCAAGATCTTCGTTATATTCCACATCTACATGAAGTTGCCCACCAAATTGTTTCACTAACATCGAAAAAGCATTATTAAGGGGTTTTGTTTGAAGTAATATTAGTATATAATATATATCACCTTATAGAGAATACTGAACTTAGTAAGGAGTAGACGACACTATCAACGAAAGTGATTATCTACACAGATTTTACATCAAAATCGAATCATGCATACTCATTATATTTTTATAAATATCTTTTGTCAATTATTTGGACCAACAGGGATAATGTAAAAGACAAACAGTCATTAACATTCATATGTTTTGTGTGGTTATGTTGTAGTGAACATTGACAATAGTTTTACCTGGTTCGTCGCATATGCCATTCGAGTCTGCCGTTAAACCAGGCCTGCATTCGCATTTCTTTATTGTTGACGTCTGGACACAAAACTGATCGGAGGAGCAACTATCTGGATCAGTTGTGCACATATCTTAAACGAGATAAAACTTAAATTTAGATAGATATCATGTCATAGAGTTCTTCGTGCAAAACTACAAGATTAGATGTTTAGATTTATTAGCAATATAACTTCACAAAGCTTATGATTTGGAATTAAATCCTACGGGTAATACTGTAATAGATTACGTTGGAGTTTCGTGGACAAAGGTAGCACTTCTGTTACCAAACTTCTTTATATTTTAAAAGTAAATTTTAATTTCTTACCCAAGAATGATGCAGTTGATATTTCGAATGAACTGGTGCTTGTTTTTTCGTTTGTTGTTTCCTCGACGTTCATTGGAGTAGTTGAAAGCGTCGTATTGTCTGAATAGGTTTCATCAGTTCCTGTTGTAATTTCTGTTTTGAAAGTTGTTGTTACCAGATTGGTGTAATCTGATTGTGTTGTTAATTCACCTGTTGTGTAGTCGCTGAAAGTTGTGGTTTCAACGGAAGTAGATACTTCTTGTGACGTGGGCCGATCTGTCGATGCCACGGTCTGTGACTGAGGTGTTATCTCAAATGTAGTACTCGGTATTTCTTGTGACGTGGTTTGCTCTGTCGATGCCTCGGTTTGTGACTGTGGTGTCATCTCAAATGTAGTACTCGATACTTCTTGTGACGTGGTTTGCTCTGTCGATGCCGCGGTTTGGGACTGTGGTGTCATCTCAAATGAAGTACTCGGCACAAATGTCGTTTGTTCACTCGAGGTCTCCAAAAATGGCGTAGTGTTGGTTTCATTATTCTGATAGTCGGTAGTTGTTTCCGAATTGGCTTCCGTAGTGATACCACTGCCTTCTTCTTCGGCTGTGGTCTGTTCAATACTTGCTTCCGTTGTGGTAGTCGGTTCGTATCCGCTGCCACTACCTTCCCCAGTTTCTCTCCTAAATCTATGCAACTCGGTTTGGTTTGTATCCTCCTCTACAATTACAAAAAAGGTTTATAAGAAGGATGAAATCACAATCTTATGAACCAACATTTTCTGTTTCATGAACATTCTCAAAATACATTTCGACTATGCATACTCCTTTAAAAATGCAAATCGAATCGCGTGCTTCATCACTTATTTCAATTCATCAATAACCTCTATATAATATGTTATTTTTGGCGTTTTTCAAACCGCCCAACCAAGTAAGCGACTAACAGAAACCTATTATATTTTAAAAGACTGGATCCTCTACTTAAAGCGTCACCATTTTAAATAGACTCAGGGGAGATTGTTTCATGTTTGTATGATTTGAACTCCAGATTTTTGACCAGCGACCCGTACACAGTCAAAAACAAAACCTATAACATGCAATTTACAAAATATCGAAGATCAAAAACAAATGCATACCGTAGCTATTCATTGCATCTTCTTCCATAAATTGCAACCATGATTTTGTCGTTTCTTCGGATGGAATATCGGTTGTTACTGCAAAAAAATGATAGTAGCACTGTAAATATAATATAAGTCTGACATGATTTTAATTTTGCCAAATATTCGAACCCTCAAATTTGTCGTAGAATCAACACGACCGTTGAAATATAATGTTTAGTATGAAATCCCAACTCTAAAATCTGTCACATCATGGCGGTATCTCATTTTAAACCATATTTTAAAGACATTATTTGAACGATGTAGTAAATTTTACATGAATTAAGTAGAAGTATAATCAAATACGCTTAAGATACCTTTTTCCTTTTTATCTATTGATTTCTTCATTTCCAATAAAAAATCATACATTTTATCTTTCATTCCGAACTCTTGCAGAGACCCTAAAATTTGAATAAATAAAGTCTATTGGTTGAAGACAATCGACACACTATTTATGGAACATGACAAAATCAAATCCCATTTGTCAGGAATTATTTTGAGTTGAGTTGTGAGTCAATTCGTTATTTTATGTTTTATTTTAAAGTAATAAAAAGAAACTTCTGTTCCAAATTGATTGAAAGTCATCATTTGTGTGGGAAAGTTTACACTCGCTGTTAAATTGATAAAAAAAAAACTTTTTAAGTGGGTGTTTTACCGTGACCTTATGTGACCCCATCGAATAAAAGGATTTTTAATTCGTTGTTTCCAATTAAATGATGATGAAGCCAACTACACAATATTACTACCCGATTTCGTCAATGCGGAAACCAACATCTTTATTACGCAATAAGCATAAATGATAATAATTGCCATTTGAAATCTCAAATGCTCCCTTTTACCTACCGTCAAAATAACTTTTCATTGCGATCATCCACAATTCTTTTTGACCATATTCTGATTTGTCGTTTCTTATTTCTTTTTCAAAATTATTTTTTAAAGTTGCTGAAATTTCTAAAAAATATAAGATAATGATAGGTAAAGTGAGAGTTTTCTTTGAAACGACAGGTTTTAAAACTCTACACCGAAGAATCTACTCTCAATTTAATAAAACAAGAGAAAGAAAGAGTAAATAATTTTGATGAGCAGCTGTTATAATTTAACTCACCTTTTATATTTCCAAACATTATGAACGATATTGTGAATAAAATAAATATATTGCGGCATGATGAAGAAATTTGAAATATTTTTTTACAATTTGATTTGCTTTTGATGCATTTCGTTGACAATGTATAAGTTCTTGATGTCTCGTGTGTACATTCTTCCCAATTTCCCAAATGTTTTTCAGTTGTATTCCCTTTGTGCTTCATATTTTGATAATATAATTCGGTAATGTTTTGAGACTTGAAGTACGAGTTTATGTAGAAGTATTCTGCAAGTTTCTCGGTAAGTAAATAATTCGATATACTCGAAATGCTTTATCTGTGAAAAAATACAATTTTGTACAGGTTTGTAGGTTCCAACAAAAAGCGTTTATATTGTACTATCAGGCTAATTTTGGGTTTGCTAATAATTAAACTTGCTACGTAATTTTCCAGTATTAAGTTCGCTTTTATATATATATTTATAGTTTATACAATTTTTTTTACGGCATTTAGTTTTGTTTTAGCAAAAACGTAAATTAGATATAGACGTTTTTGTATTAGACAAATAAACTATTGCAAAGGATTTTCTTCAACCTTCGAAATATTTCTTTTGAACAATAAAAAAATTAAAATAGCCTTTCTCGATGTGGCTTTCTGACAAAAAACTATAAATAAACCTGATGGCAATGACTTTTCGACGTTTACTTTTATATATATATATAAACATACTCTGCAGCATGATAACAGTCTCAAACAATCTTATACTTAAATATTTTGGTATTCATAATATAGCCACTGTGGCTACTATCACTTTGTGAAATTCGGGTACTCCGGTAGTGTGTGTAGTGTACCCCGCAGGTTAGGGTTAAAACATAATTTTATTCCAATTTTTCCTATTTTAGTTTCATTTCGAGTTCGGGGACTGTTTTTGTTAGCCAAGCGAATACACCCCCTGCCCATCGGCTTCCGTCCCTTTACACAACTTGATGTAAAGTAGGCGAACAAAATTAGTTACCTCCATATTGGTACACACACTTCTGAAGCGCTGAATTTCACTTATCGACGTGCCTGTCTCAATATTCTACTGAGCTTTGTCAAAATACATTGGTCATGAACTTTATTTGGGCAAATTTCTTTTATTTATTTTGTCTTTTCTCTCTTTCCACCAATTGTGACGACACATAACGTCATAATAGAATAAACATAAGTCTTATCACGCATACTATCACAAACGTAACGAACGACGTATGTATACATAACTAGGTGGCTCTAACCGCTTCGAACAATTTCGATTCACATTTTTAATAAATATATTCGAATCTTTTCTCATCTATTTTAATAATAGGAATTTTTTCTCAGTGACCATATATGCTTCCTATAAAAGAGAATGAGTTAAAAATTTTGACAATTTATACCAAGTGGGCCACTGCGGGCGATTTCAAATAAAATTTATGCAATACCACTTTGAGTATAATATACTATGGTGAATCCAATCACATAAAACAGTTTTCGGTCACAATTGCTATGCAGTATTTTTTGAATTCTCATAAACTGTTCATATCTAACATAATAACACAGTTACACTTTTTTTTGCGTGTGCTTTCTTTACAATATTTCCAAAAATGGAAATAACCCTTCAAGCACGTGCTACGTAGTCTCCTTTTGATTCACGCAATACCGAATACATTGTGATATTAGATTACACGCAATATTACAGTACAAATATATGTATAAATGTCGTAGATTGCCCAAGTAGTTAAAATAATAGGCAGTAGTTCCCAATATACCCTGCACTGTTTTCAATCAGAAGAACTGTTGTAGCTCTGACTTTTGTACTCAAATACACTTTATTTAGAAGATATAATTCTAAACCTCTTTTAAGTTTTAGCACGAATTTCACATATATGTATTATTGTCCGCAAAAATTACTAACACTAACACGCTATAGATGAAAGTAGTCGATAAATGTAACCGGCACAAATAAGCAGAAATTCAAAATCTAATTTTCGAACAGTCTTAAACCAATCGCGACTTGCTTATACAGATAACGTTTCAGAAGTTTTGAATTCCTTGAAATACAACTATTATGCGAGCTGTAATGTAACCATTTCTTCAATGTTCAATCTCACGAAATTGTATTAGTTCTGTTGACATTCTAGTTTCCTATTTCTGTGGTTTCATTAATTTTCTCAAACAAATATTCATCTACATATTTTTATGAATTATTAATACCTCATACTGTAGGAGAAAGAAATATATTTTAATACGATTGATAAATGAAGGGAAATTTTGTCATCATAAAACTTTATGTTTCTAAGTTGCTAGGCGGGTGCTTTGTGCGGTGTAATTACGACCATTTTGTACTTGATAGCACGTTCGGCACGTCGTTCACACCCATGTCTATTACATCATTGTGAATGGAACTTTCAAAGAATGTGATCCTGATAACGTATTCCAAAATAGAAAAATAAATAAATGGCGACATTGCTCGTTATATTTATGGAAATTTATTATTTATGGAATGACAGTAAGTAAACCCATTGAGAAAAATCCATTATGATAAAAGTGGTCTCGGACATCCGTTGTACATATATTAGTCTGAATGATTTGAGCAAATGTCTTATTCTAAGCGAACGGTAGCATTTGAGCGATTAGCTCTTGCCTATATAGAGACTTGTTTAAAGAAACTATGTGAACGGATACCCTGCGAGCATAAACTTCTTCAACAAGAAGTTTCTGTTTACCTCGCATTTCTAACTTTTCACTATACAATTTCTCATTTTTCCAAGTTTAATCATTCATTTCACGTTCACATTTATTTTTTGAATAAACCTCGTTTCATAGAATAATAGTCTGTGATTTTTACTGATCATGTCCTGTAAAATGTAATGCCAGGATATTTACGGTAATTTTTACCATGTTCTGAATGTAAATTCACCGAATTTGTAATGTAAATTCACAGGCTAGCGTCGGTAAATATTTCTACGCATTGTCGGTGAAAATTACCGTAAAAAAATTGTAAGGATTACTAGGGAAATCCTGTAAAATTTACAGGTGATCAACAGCGATTTTACCGAAAATTCTTGTGATATTCACCTTAAAATGGCATTAAAATTTCACAACTACATTCCAGTAATATGTAATGCCAGGCGATTGCCGGTAAATATTTCTTAGAGTGTACTGTTGAATATATTTCCGCCATCGCCCCACGAAATAATAAATGTAGGCCTCAAATCTGATAGTAACCCCCTCAAAAATTGATGCAAATATATGGTATATCATATACTTTCTAAGTTGGTAATATTCATACGAGAAGACGTGGTTTATGCACCTCTCGACTATCTTATCTGCTTTTTACGGCAAATGTATTGATATGATTGTCCCCAACCATAGTATCCGTGAAATCATCAAATCACGAGACAATTCAATACACGCAATCGTTTCTGCCAATTACTCATATGTACCCAATACCAACCATCTCGACTGCGCTTCTTTATTAAACAGGATATTCTACTTCAAAAATCTAATAAAACCAATTTATATGGGATAAATTGTTTTTAAGATTCGCAAATAAAGGCCTATTTGGGATTTTTAAAGACTTCTCACAAAATTTCAATAAAAGCCTAACTATTAAATATTATATGTGAATGGGTATAATATATGTAATAAGTTTGACGTTATTGGGCACTTTTTGTTAAATATGTATTTTTAAGATTTCTTTTTATAATATAGCTTTCGTGAGAAGTAAATATTAAATAACTCGCACGCGTAATAAATATTTGGTTTACAAGTTAGGAATTACTTTTCATAATAAATATCTAAATGTAAATTTATTCAGTCTTTTAAATATTATTTTTAAAATTATTTTTCGCGGTAAATAGTGGCTTCATCACTCTCTCGACAAATAATCGTTAAAAGAAGTTTGCTACTATAATGTATATGATGTTTAGTGTACTAGGTCATTCTTTCAAAATTAGTGTTATTTTAGATATACTGCGTTTGTTGCTTTATCTGTATGCAAAAATTCACTCTCTTTTTCAATCCAAAAGAGTCTCTGCTAAGGCATTGCACTGTAAATTCTAAAACCTGACAGGTTGAAATCTTTGAACTTGGAAATAAAAACCTTAATCAGCGAAATGACATTTTAGCCAATGCTTTCGCTATGTCCTGCCCACAGCAATATCCTTCGACACTGGAAAGAATATTTTCGCTACGTACAGCATTCCCAAGGAAAAATAATCGAAATCACGCCATTTCGAGTTTTTCCATAACTCCTGCATCAAAAGTAATTCTTGCTATATACATAACAAAAAGACAGTTTTATTTATATATACCATGTGATGCTTTATACGGACCGGAACTTAAATATGCCCATATATGTCCTTTTATTTTCAATGTTTGCTGAACGCCAATGCAAACTAATCAAAGCATTTTATACGCATTAATTTATGATTATTAAAATCGAGACAGGTGAGCTCGCGCAAACTAGGTAAAAGATAATAAAAAAGTGGCCTGGTAGATAATATATATATATATATATATAGATATATATATATAAATATATTGAAAATTAACTATCGGTAGTTAGTTCAGAGCAGTGGTTCCAACCATTTTGGTGAACCGGGACTCTGATGAAACATTCCAGAGGGTCGAGAAATCCCAGCACAAAAGTTTAATTCCATTTTGTTGACTAAATTCTATAACCTATATACATATATTAAGCAAATTTTATACTAGCAAAACAAAACGATGTATAAATTATAGCACTTCAAATTAATAATGGAAAATCATTGTGAAAAGACTATAAGAAAATTGGCGATCGATGGTGGTCAAACGTGTTAGTGATTGCATATGATATTTTATTCTTCCACGCTATTATCAGTTCCCACGGATGACATAATACTCCAGTAAACTCAATAACATTATGTACATATGACTACGACATATTCAACCGATGATAAACATTCGCTCTAATATTGTTCTTGGGTAAATCGTACACTGTTATACATATACGTATTTTTGGAAAGGCAAATGTTTATCTGGCTAACATTCACACAGTATATAAGTATGTGTCATGCACCTATACACCTATATTTTTACTGCATTTTTGTAATAAAATAGTAAATTAAAATGGGAAATGCACAATATTAACGATATCAATAAATATAGAACCGGTCAGGGTTTAACGCATAATAAGAAGTAAAGTTTTCGTTGCAATCTAACAGTATTGCAATCTTCCTGTGGCCTTTGTACATTATTTGTATGCATTGTGGAG